AACCATGGGTCTAGCTGCTGTCCTCACATTGTGATCCATGGGTGTAGTTGCTGCCCTCACATTGTAAACCATGGGTCTAGCTGCTGTCCTCACATCGTAACCCATGAGCCTAGTTGCTGCCCTCACATTGTGACCCATGGGCCTAGTTGCTGTCCTCACATTGTGACCCATGGGCCTAGCTGCTGTACTCACATTGTCACCCATGGGTCTAGCTGCTGTCCTCACATTGTGACCCATGGGCCTAGCTGCTGTCCTCACATAGTGACCCATGGGCCTAGTTGCAGCCCTCACATTGTAAACCTTGGGTCTAGCTGCAGTCCTCACATTGTGACCCATGGGCCTAGCTGCTGTACTCGCATTGTAGCCCATGGGTCTAGCTGCTGTCCTCACATTGTGATCCATGGGTCTAGTTGCTGCCCTCACATTGTAAACCATGGGTCTAGCTGCTGTCCTCACATTGTGACCCATGGGCCTAGCTGCTGTCCTCACATTGTGACCCATGGGCCTAGCTGCTGTACTCACATTGTAACCCATGGGTCTAGTTGCTGTTCTCACATTGTGGCCCACGGGTCTAGTTGCTGTCCTAAGTCCTGCATTGCTCTTCTTTAGTTAGTTACTATCGTACTGTCTACTGATTTTTCACAAATAAAGTACTCATTACAATCTTTTTTGACTAAAGAAGTAGGGGAAAACGTGTGAAAGAGAGGAAGGGGAGGTATGGGAGTTCATGGCCCCATACTAAACTACTGTATGACAACATTTGCGTCTTTGTCTTTGCAGAGTATGATTGCACCTTTCAGGAATGTTGGATCAGGATATAACAGGTACGACTTTTTGATACCAAGGAAGCGTATCAGTATAGAATGATTACTCGGGCTCTGTCTAATATTCAAGAAAACAATATGCACTTACTCGGGCTGCCTGTAGACCAGGAAAAGACTTTGTCATCACCCTAATTATCTGTTATTACGTTCAATCTCAGAAACCTACTCGAGAGGGTTTCCAAGGTAACGATTCATGATCTGGACCGCGTGGGGCAGAAGTACATCGCCCCTTTGTTTGACCCTCTGACGTCACGGTGTGCTGTGTGTTGTCACCCATCGAAAGTAGAAGAGATCAGAGAAGGACTCGGAAAGTATGTGGTGAATGGTGTTATAAATGTCGTAAATTATCTTCCTCATCGTATTCTATAGTAGTACAGTAGTAACACAAGGACAGTGGGCAATGGGACGGAAGTCGTGCATTGTGACCCTCTTGTCTAGGCGTGCAGTCCGGCATTGCGACATGCGGGTCTAACCGTGCAAACCGTCATTGTGACCCGTTTGTCTAACCGTCCAGTCCCGCGTTGTGACTTGGAGGTCTAACCGTC